TTTCACCACAATTAAATATTCATTTACACTCACTAACCAATAATTAAATATTTGACCACAAAATAAGTTAGACGGTTGGACAGGGCGAAAAGATAGTTATGGAGCCCTTCAAGACAATTTTGCCAAAAGGGATTATGGGAGTGGGGTATTATGGTAGCATAGACGAGAAAATAAAAGAAATATGGCAACCGCAAGCAGGAACTAGTAGATTAGATCGTTATAATGAGCTAATGTATACACACAATTAAAAAGTGTGCGATAATTGGAAAATAAAGAAAAAATTGCAATAATTCGGAATCCAGCGGATTCCGAATCGACCCTGAGGGTTTAAAAAGTCAAAAGTTAACGGAGGGCGACACGATTCCTACGTTGGACAAATTCGTACAGCGCTAACCGGGACCGAAACTTTGAATCTCAGATCTCAGCCAGACAGTGGGTACTTTACTTTCCAAAAAAATTTATAAGCCATAGTAGTAGTAAGATAATGGTTAACAGACTGTTAATAGATTTTATAACATATTATGAATATAAAATGCGATAACACCCCCATTGTACAATGATAGAAAAAAATAGGGTTTTGCTTCTGTACATTCCTGTCTTTCTGCCACTATATATTCCTGCAGGGAATGCAATTTAATGTGGGGATGGATTATGTCGTACAGTTGTGTTGGGTAACACAATATAGCCTACAACATGTAGACGCATGTCATTATGGACTTCTGTGGGGAGGTGCAATGTAATATGTGGAGGGACAGCCGACACAAAAGCAACTAAACAATTAATGCCTACTATTATGAAATGAGTAGGCAGTTATGCAAATAAACAAGGGCATGGTGATTGGTACCGTGAGCCGGGTAAGGACGCCGGCGATAGGGAGGATAAATTAGCCCTTGCGGACTGCGCGGTAATTAGAAAAAAATAATTATGCCTCGCTTCAAATGTGCGCGTGGCAGTACCTTCGGTCTTCGTGTTTTATCACTAAGTACCTGTCGAGCTTGAGCGGACAAAGTTTCTGAAACGAATTAGTGGCGAGCGTTCGAAGTTCGCGGAGGGTCTGTACCTTTTATTCTGCAAGAAGAGCTATTACTAATGCTGACAGCTCATGGTTTGCCAATACAAGCAAAAACGCTTCTTCTCAGCTCATGTTTGATTTCCCATAACACCGCCGACTCTTAGTTAAGAACAATCGCAGTCGGGTTAACTTTTCATTCACTAGTAAAAAAAAGAGAAGTTCTTAAACATTGGAGACGCAGGTTTTATTTACTTTGGATCCTATTTTCCTGAGTGCTCCGTCTCTAGGGTCAAAATTGGTAGCTTTGCGTGCTGCTTGAGCTGTAAATATTTGGGTGGGCTGACGTGAAAAGGCTTCACCTTACGGACGGTGCCGTTGGTCCGTCGAAATTTGAGCTCACTGTCACCAGCCTTCGCCTCCCCCCT